CCTTAGTTTTCCAGATACATAAAATTTTGGTGGCCAGCTTCTTGCCAGATTTGATTCAATGGTCTCTGTCATTAACTCATAATGTGGCTGACACAGGGTTCATGCAAAGCTTTGCCATTCTCTTCTTGCTTGCAAAATTAAAACTGTCTTCAACTTTTTGTCAAGAATTATTTCCAGAATCATTTAAAGATTCTGCTAGCTTGTTAGGTTTTGTTAAAACTAAAATACAGAATTTGTAAATCCAGTTGACCAGGCACAATATATTTCACAATATAACCAAGGCAGATGGAGCAGTGGGGAAGCCACTGGGCAGCCCCTGAGCTGGGCACTCCGATTCTTTGCTCGGGAGACCTTGCCTATGCCCCAGGTGATACCTGACCACTCGACATGTGGACTCAAGGACGGTGCCAATGTCAATACAGTTGCTATCAGTTACCGTAATGTTTCATGATAACAAAATGAATGTAAATGCAAGTCCTAATCAATTTGTTTTCCCACCCAAATGAATCTTCTCAAGTGCTTGCTGGGGTGCATATCCCACTGTGGAGATCACTTTGCCATGCAGTGATACAGTCATTTACTTCTAAGAGCCAGTTATAATCATAGAAATCTCTAGACTGAAAACTGGCAGGACAAGGTCTGAACTAAACCAGGCCAAAGAGATAGTTACTTTCTTTATCTTTTTAAGTTTTTAAATTATTACTATAACCCATTAACAAAAAAGTACATTTAAAAATTCATTAATTTTGTGCATGTCACTACCAGCCCTGTCAAAACGCACAATACTGCCAGGGCCATTGGAAGCCCTCTGGGTGCTTTCTCTTCCCTCACTTAGAGGTAAGCAGAATCTTGATATCTGATTCTTTCAGTAATAAGTTTCTTGCTTTCCTTTGTTGCTTCAGCCACTTGAATATACACACCTTAGCAATAGAGTTTACTTTTGTCTGTTGCTTAACAAGACTGAGATGTTATCTTGTGTCTTTTGTTTCTCTCTCTCTCTCTTTTTTTTTTTTTTTTGAGACAGGGTCTTGCTCTGTCACCGAGGCTGGAGTACAGTGGTGTGATCTCAACTCACTGTAGCCTTCCCTTCCTGGGTTCAACTGATCCGCCCAGCTCAGCCTCCCAAGTAGCTGGGACTACTGGCACACACTACCACATCTAGCTAAGGTTTTTTTGTTTTTCTGTTTTTTCTTTTTTTGTATTTTTTGTAGAGAAGGGATTCATCATGTTGCCCAGGCTGGTCTTGAACTCCTGGACTCAAGCAACCCCCTGCCTCAGCCTCCCAGAGGGCTGGCATTACAGGCATAAGCCACCAAACCCAGCCCATGTCTTCTGTCTTTCAACATTATGTCTGTGGGATACATTCATGTTATTGTGTATAGCTCTAGTTCATTATTTTACTGCTGTATAGTATTCCAGCATATGATTACACCACAATTTATTCATCTAGTCTCCTACTGACAGAGAATATTTTCCATGTCTCTGGATGCATATAAGTATATATTTCTCTAGAATACATAGATACACACACACACACACACACGCAGTTAACTTAGTTTAAAAAAAAAAAAAAAACCTAATGATTTCCAGTAATTCATTCTTTTGGCAATGAATTAAGAGTCCGTAATTAACTAACTCTTACAAAGCTATGAGGAAACTTCATTAAATTACTAGATTTATCTCTGAGTAGACTTCCACTCCTACACATTCACTAAATCCAAGCCATGACAATAAATGAATTTTACTGTATTAAAAAATAGTTTGGGCCAGGCATGGTGACTCACACCTGTAATCTCACCACTGTGGGAGGCTAAGGTAGAAGGATCACTTAAGCCCAGCAGTTCAAGACCAGTGTGAGCAACAAAGTGAGACCCTCATCTCTACAAAAAAATCAAAAAATTAGCACCTGTGGTCCCAACTACACCAGAGGCTGAGGCAAGAGAATCATCGCATTAGCCCAGGAGGTTGAAGGTTCAGTGAGCCGTGTTGGTGCCACTGTGCTCCAACCCAGGTGACACAGTGAGCAGAGTGAGACCCTGCCTCTAAAAAAAAAACAACAAAAACCTTGTAAACTTAGTGAACTTACTAAAGCTGATTCCTTCAAATCACTCTTTCCTCTCTATCTCTCCCTTCTCTCTCTCTCTCTCTCTCTCTCTCACACACACACACACACACACACACACGTACACACATTTTACATATTGTAATCAAATTTTTCCTCTTAATGAGGGCTAATATTGTACATACTGAGAGAACAAAATGTTCAAATTTTAAAGGAATTTTGCACCACAAGAGTTCCAAGTTAACACTGATCGAGCCTGGAAAGACAAAAAATGTTATTTCTGTAGCCAAACTAAGGAGTACAAGTATAAATAACAGAGACTAGCTCCAAATTCAGAGTCTCCAGTGTTTTCATTACCATTGTAAGTGTTCTCCAAGTGACTGTAGAAATGGGACACACTTAGGTGACAATACTATGGTACCAGCAAAATCTGCCTCTGGTCTCCCATTGTCTTACCAATAACTACATAATAACTAAGATTTTTTATTGTGCCAGGACTTTCCACATACCAGCCTACATATACTTTACATATATGGGCTATGGGCTTGTTTAGTCATTAAAAGAACCTGATGACGTGAATACTCTCATTTGTCCCATTTTACAAGTAGAAAACGATGCACAGAGAGCGGGGATAACTTGGCCAAGGTCCCACTGCTGGAAGTAGCTCAGTTGGAACTCAAAATCATTGCTCGGTCTATGCCCTACTACCTTGCAAAATGTTAGTTTTATTGTTATTGTCTTATCTTGATAACAATAATAGTAGTTAAGATCAGAGCAAAATGTGAATTCTAGGGGGAAAAACATCTATGTACATTTATTTTGATCTATGGGAAATTTGTGAAAATGATTGTAACCAAGCAACTCTCTAATTCTGGGAGAAAAAATTAAGAAATGAATTAAGGGATTCAGTGGATACCCAAATTAGTCATTAGAACTCGAAGATCTGGAATTCTGGTCTAAATCCAGCTTTGGCACTTGCATCCAAAATAAACATGACCAGATAAGTGTAACAGCTCACAATTAAAATGGATTTATATGGCTTATGTGTCCACATGGGACAGGCCTCTTTCTAATGAGTTCAGATACCTCTTCAGTTATCACGGGCTTCATTTACCATCTTCCAATAGTCTTTCATAACTGCTGGCAATAGGATTATGCTGAGGGAGAAATCATTTTCAATCAGTGATGTCTGCAGTACAAGCATAAAAAGATAAAAGTAAAGCCTTTGAGCTGTAATTAGAAAATTCCTAAAGTGTGCTCATGTGGCATATGGTTTAGACTACTACCAACTGGCAAGACCAGTTACAGAAGGAATGTCTAATGTCACTGTTCTGGAATAAGCAGCCCATACAAGTAGCATTCCAACACACGATTAGAGCAATCTTTTCCAGGGTAAAACATTACTGCTTTCCACCTCTAATATGATTAGTGACAGACAGCTGGAGGCATCTCATTCTCCTGACAAAAATATGATCAGAATTGTTTTCAATTAGTACATCTTTCCATCAAGCTGTTGCCTTCCAGCGGAATAATCAGAGTTTTTATTTATTTGGTATATGTTTCAAGAAAACATGAATTGATTGTGCCCTTGCTTGTCTGATGGCTGCCAGGATTTACATAGCAACTGTTCAGCTGCCTAACCAAAGGAAAACTAAGCAGTGTGTGCCCCTGTGCATGCACATATGTGTATGGAGACAGAGAGACAGAAAATCAACCAGTTGTTTCTATACTGATTCTCTTTAAACAACTAGAAAGTGCTTTCGCTGTGATTCAAACATGAGGAAGTAAAATATTCTATTCCATTCATGGAAAACAACCAACTCCCACCAATGTTTATGGCTCTTTTCAAAAAGTTACACTAAAGTTTTACTTATCACTAAAGTTTTGCATTTATGGGGAAAAAAATCAAGTTTATATTAAACGTTAGTGGAAAAATCCAGGAGGCAATAAGACCTCATTAATTTGGACTATCTCAATTTGGAATTTATGATTATTTGACAGGGTCTGGACCAAGGATGATCTTTCCACAAGGAATATGTGGCTTGTTAAGTAAATTGATTTAAACAAGATCACTGATGGGAAAAATAAAAAAATGATAATAATAAAAATGCTTTCAGGGAAAGTATGGACCTAAACCAACATGCTTTCTGTTCAGCAAATACTTTCAATACACCTGTTCAAATACCAATACTGATAACAATAACAGTTACCGTTTTATTGAATGTCAGTTTTGTGTAAGTTTGTCTTGCATACATGAGCTTAAAAACATCTCGACAATTCTGCAAGATGGGTATAATTATCCCATCTTAGAGAAGAGGAAACTGAGGCTCAGAGAAGTAAGTCACATGCAAAGACTGCACAATTATTAGGCAGCAGATGCAGGAAGCAGAGCCAGGCTGTCTGGCTCAGGAGTCTGCATCCAACTCCTAGTCAATGCTGACTGAACACTGCCAATTCCAAGTCAGACTTCTGTAATCACGGGAGCACGTTCTTCAACAAGAATGACAATGAGAGCAAAAGTGGCCATCAGTGTGAGGAGGGAAAGCCAGACAGTCTGGCTCCAGAGCCCACCGCTCTTAGCCATAATTCTTTTTTAAATCACAAGAATGTCTGTAAAAGTTCTATTTTTTTTTTTGGTACTTCAAAATATTTCATATGCATGAAGTTAATCTAAACATATCCATAGACATGACAAGGCAAGTGGGGAAGGGGTATGTGGGTGGCGTAGGACCGACTCACATCCACCAGACCCCACTGCCCTATCAGGAGTAACTTCAGTCAACACACTCTAAAAGAGAACTCTGGTGTTGAGCCCTGAGAGGCAGCTGAGGCTGCCAAAGGCTGTCACAAGGCTCCCAGGTGTCAGCTGCAGGTGTAGGGACAGCTGGCCATGGCAGCAGGAGGAGGTCATGGAGAGGGAAGGACCATCTCTACTCACCTGGGAGTCCACAGAAATGTTCCTGAAAGCAGCCTGGGTTCTGAAGTGCCCTAGGAAAAATGGAAATTTGGGAATTCAGGCAGGTCTCAAATTACTAGCCACACCACCCATTTCCCATCACATTCAAAACCCAAGCACAGGATCTCGAGTCAGGCAGACAGAGAATTTGTCCTCACCCATGACTTTACAGCTCTGTAACTCTGAGCAGGGAGAGTAACCCCTCTGTGCCGCAGTTTATTCAGCTGTAATATGGGGATAATAATAGTACCTTCCTCACAAAGTTGTTGACTTGATGCTATATAACATATGCAATGCATTTAGCACACCGCCTACCATATACTAGTGATATTTTAATAACACCAACAATAGCCAACATTTATTGCCAGCTTAGGAAATATCTAGCATTGCTCTAGGACTTCACATAGGCTAACCCTTCAATACTCTGAGGAGGGTCCTGGTATCACTGGCACTTTATAGGTATTAGAAAATGAGGCACCAGAGAGATCAAATCACCTGTCTCATGAAAATGTAACTGTGGCAATCAAGTCCCAGAGCCTGGGCTATTCTTAATCTCTCCTCTCCAAAAGATACCCTATAAAGTACACACAATCCCAAAGAACTCACTATTCAACCAGTAATCACTTAGGCAGAAAGATGGGTACTAAGGTCATAAGTCAACCAATCAGTCACTCACTCACTCACTCACTCATCAGTGCACATGTTTCTTAAGAATGCCTATGTCTCTATTGCTCTGCTGAGCACTGTGTGGGGATTCAAAGGCTCTGCTAACTGGTCCTACAAAACTCAGAAGATTGAGCTCCACAAAATGACTAAAGAATGACCACGAGGGAGGCGCTGCAAAGAAGGGGATGAGGGTCTCAGGACACGGATGCTGTTCCTGGCTCTGGCACCAACTCTCTGGGTGACCTTCTCCAAGCCAGCTGACCTTTCTGGGCTTCATCTTTAAATGAGAGGATTGACCTAAAGGCTTTAAGCCCTGAGATTCTGTTTTAAAACTGTGACTTTCTTTTGGAGTAACTTTTTCTCCCTACCAGTCCAGTTTTGAAAAAATAACCCTTCACTTAGCCAACAAACACTGACTGAACACAATGTTAAACACCATGAATAGTGCCAAAGATATAACACAGAACACAGCCTACACTTTGTAATGATGTCCATAAGCATGGTGAATTCTCATCCTATGAGATCTTGGCAACCAGAAGACAAGGCAAGAATGTAGCCCTAAGGACAACTGCACACACTGGGTTTGCCCCAATCTGCACCACTCTAAAATCCAGGATCCACATCCCCAGGTGCCCAGCAGTCTGAGAAAAGGTGGAGTACCATGCTAAGCAGATGGGGAGGGTAAGAATGTCTGTGAAAAATAAGGCAGAAACAAGACAAACAATGGGATGCCTGGCTGGAAGTTAGATTTGTTTTCTAAAAGTTAGTAGTGTTGTATGCAACAAACCGAAGTGACAAGAACACAGCTGGTACTTAATTAATTGACTTTCTTGACTTTAATAAAGTAAACCAATGGTTATTTTGATAGCAATCTTGTGTGTGTGTGTGCATGTGCCTGCTTCTACGGGAAACATTTACTCCTACACAAAAGCAACTGACCTTATTTAAAGATCAGTTCGTCTCACCTAGATACATTTGCTTTCACAAAAACTCCTTGGAGGGGAATAATTTAGTGAGTGTAATACTTACATTAAAAAGAAATTGATTTTAAAATATGCTTTTCAGACTTTTGACAAAAACAATTTCCTAATTTTCTTTATGACCCACAAAAGGCAAAGATTGTTGTGTTGACAAAGTAATAAATAACATGAGTTGTCATATGAGATATTAAACATTTATGGATTAAATTTTTAATAAAGACTTTTAAACAGTCCCCAAAATATCCATCAATCTTCGACATGGGAAGAAGCAGCATTTTGGTAAATTCCATCTCCTACTACAATAGAAGTCAGCACAAGATATTTATGACTCAGAGAAGGCAATGATAACTTTTTTTTTTTTTTGAGATGGAGTCTCACTCTGTCACCTAGGATGTAGTACAGTGGTATGATCTTGGCTCACTGCAACATCTGCCTCCCAGGTTCAAGTGATTCTCTTGCCTCAGTCTCCTGGGTAGCTGGGATTACAGACACGCACCATCACACTCAGCAAATTTTTGTATTTTTAGTAGAGACAGGGTTTCACTAAGTTGGCCAGGCTTGTCTCAAACTCCTGACCTGAAATGATCTGCCCACCTTGGCCTCCCAAAGTGCTGGAATTATAGATGTAAGCCACCACGCCCAGTTCAATGATGGCATTTTTAATAGGATGACCAAATATTTGCAGCAAAGGATTTTAGAAGGTACAGGATGGTCAAACAGGGCTGGGCATGGGGGCTCATGCATGTTTCCCAGCACTTTGGGAGGCCAAGGAGGGTGGATCACCTCAGGTCAGGAGTTTATGACCAGCCTGGCCAACATGGTAAAACCTGGTCTCTACTAAAAAAAACTAAATAAATACAAAAATTAGCCAGGCATGGTGGCGCATGCCTGTAATCCCATTACTTGAGAGGCTGATGCAGGAAAATCACTTGAACCAGGGAGGAAGAGGTTGCAGGTTACAGTGAGGTGAGATTGCATCACTGCACTCCAGCCTGGCCGACAGAGCCAGACTTTGTCTCAGAAAAAAAAAAAAAAGAATGGTCAAATATATCATGTGTTATTTTGACAGGTTTTCAGGTAGCAGATATATTGTCTTTTACTATGTTTCTATCAAAGTAACCTGTGCATGAGAGTCTATACAAAAGTTAGTTCCTAAACTGGCTTGAAAGGGATTCCCAATTATTTTATGCAATGGCAACATTGTTGGAGTACATGCATAAGCCTCAAAGAGGACAACTTTGAGGAACAATGCTCATTTGGATAAATAGTTTTCTTTTTTCTTTTCTTTTTTTTTTTTTGAGATGGAGTTTCCCTCTTGTCACCCAGACTGGAGTACAATGGCGTGATCTCGGCTCACCGCAACCTCCACCTCCTGGGTTCAAGCAATTCTCCTGCCTCAGCCTCCCGAGTAGCTGGGACTACAGGCACACACCACCATGCCCAGCTAATTTTTGTATTTTTAGTAGAGATGGGGTTTCACGTTGTTGACCAGGATGGTCTTGATCTCTTGACCTCGTGATCCACCCGCCTCAGCCTCCCAAAGTGCTGGGATTATAGGCGTGAGCCACTGCGCCCAGCCTGGATAAATAGCTTTCTTAAGCTTAGAAAGAATAAAATTGAAATTTCGGTAGTGATAATCCCTAGGGTGAAGGATTATAGGTAATTTTTCTTCTTCTTAATATTTTTCTCTGCTTTCTAAACTTTCTAAAATGAGTATGTACTACTTTAACAATTTGAATATTTTTTTCAATCTCAGAATATATTATGGAAAACAGCCTTAAAAAAGTGAAAAGGAGCTGGGCATGGTGGCAAGCACTTGTAGCTCCAGCTACCTGGGAGGCTGAGGCAGGAGGATCGCTTTTGCCCAGAATTCAAGGCTATTGTATGCTATGATTGCATCTGTAAACAGCCACTGCACTCCAGCCTGGGCAACACAGCAAGACTCTATCACTAAAAATATGTGAAAAGGTTTTGGAATCAGACAAACTTGGGTTCAAGCCTCAGACTATACTCTTTCTACCTTGGTACCCTTTGATAAGTTACTTAGCAGCTTAAGTCTCACATTTATCTGGAAAATAGAAACCACAACATGTGCCTTGAGCATCATTTTGCCTGTGAGAGGTGAGATATTTTAAGTGCTTAGCACAAAGCAGGTGCCCAACAAATATTAAGTACTCATTTAGTCAAAGAACACACGGAAGATAAGGGAGGCTTTTCTGATAACACACAGTAAATAAATGTGTTAGTGTTTACAAACTGATGCATCAGACTATTTGTTTTTAGAAATACTGAGTTTGGAATAGGTAACTTCCAGAAATCATCAAACCATTAAAAATTCAGAGAAGGAGTAAGTAGAAATGGGCTTCTGCTCCACTCTCCTTCCCATTACAATTATTTGATTATTAGATTCCTACATTCCAGCCAGGGGCAATGGCTCATGCCTGTAATCCCAGTACTTTGGGAGGCTGAGGCAGGCAGATCACTTGAGGCCAGGAGTTAGAGACCAGCCTAGCCAACATGGTGAAATATTTTGTAAAAATACAAAAATTAGCCCAGCATGGTGGTGTATACCTGTAGTCCCAACTACTCAGGAGGCTGAGACAGGAGAATTACTTGAACCTGAGACCTGGGAGATGGAGGCTGCAGTGAGCCAAGATGGCACCACTGCACTCCAGCCTGGGTAAGACAGTGAGACTCTGTCTTAAAAAACAAAAATTCCTATGCCCCAAGACTCTCAGGTTCACCTGTACCTGCTACTTTGCTCACATGCACCTACTCAGAAATCCCCCGATTGGGACAAGATTTGGAAGAAGGATTAAAGCAGCTCTACTTGAGAATAGAGAAAGAAACCACAGCTATCACAATAAAAATACTTTCCATGTTGTCATTCCTTGTGATTAAAGAAAGCAAAATAAATTATGGAATTGCTTAAATGAGGGGTAATGTACCAGATTATAGATTCTCTGGCTTTTCTCTTTTTATGGTAGCTATGTTGATGTTTTCATCCTATTTCTCTGAAGGCAGTTCAGTCAGTTAGGTTTATAATAAAATATATATATTCAACTAAATATGGATGCTGGGGAGATGTTGCCCTTGGATATATGTTGCTATACCTTGACTACAGCAAGAAATATTGATTTAACTGGCTTTAATATCAAGTCAGGTATTTGTTGACACATAGAAATGAAAAATATCAAAATCATGAAAAGCTTAATATATAGGTCAAATCCCATTTCAGCTCACTCCATGGGACTCTCCAAACTCTTCTGCTGTATTGGAATTGTGTTCTACGGATACTTGTATAAGTCGCTGGATAACAGAGACTTGCATTATGATGGAATTTGCTACATATATGGATATTAGTATAAATTTTTATTTAGTACAAT